AATCGCACCAAAGAGCATCTTGAATCCAAAAGTTTTTTTGAGACCCTTAAGGGCCCCGAACCCCACGCCGTAATTTTTGGAATCACTTTTTGGGGCCCAATTTTTTTTTCGCCCTGCCCAAAAAACTTGTGTTCTGGATCCGCTCTTGGGGAAACGCAGGTACATGTTTTCTACACAGCTTGCTTTTTGTGCGATTATGTCTTTGGTGGTTAGTGCCATTGATCTCAGACTGTGTTATAGGGTGCAGACCAGTAAATCGGTCCGAAATTGCCTGCGCAGGCCAAAATCTTCGGTATTTGAGCATGCTGTGGGCCATAAACTTGAGGGTTTGTAAAAAAATATGGGTGAAAGCCATGCACAGGACTGGGAGCTTGCAGTTCTGTGTAATTTTGATGTAATTTGGACCCTAAAGCGCTCTATTTTGCAATGAAGTGTAGGCATCGTTTTTCAAAATGGCGATGGGCTTCAGGCCTATTTTCAGGGGTGATCATCTTCAGATGGAAATTTCTCTCCTAAAAGTCATTAGTTGACCCCCCGAAAATTGAAAAGAAAATGAAAGATGATGAAATAAGTTTGAATTTGATGTGTGTCTCGAACACCTTGGAGAGTTGTGAGTATTTTTCCCGAATTTTTGAAGTGGGAGCATTTACCATTGGGGTCTATGGAAGTTTATTTACTGGTCTGCTACCACAATGGTTTGGTGCAGTCAATGAAACGTGTTTGGCGCCCTCAATATTGAGGGCGCCAAACACAGTTTCATTGCCAAACACGCAGCTGTCTTGCTTGGTGTGTAGTTTGTTTTGAGTCTTTGGTTGAGACCCTCCCACTCCAGTTTCATGCTCTTATTTCATTATCATATTTCTAATATTCATAGGACTGCAGACATGGTGTACAACCTCTGTCTCTCCGTTCCTTTGGAATATTGGGGAGTCTTTGGAACTCGCGTTTACTTCTGAAGTTCTGGCATGTGTAGCTAGCAAACCTTCACGTGGGCTTGATCATCTTCTGTTGTTGTTGGATGAGCCATACTCATAGCCAATGTCATCGCCCGATCGCATCATTTCGCATGTCATGACGGCGGTGCAGATAATCCCAAGGTAGAAAAATTCCCTTGATGTCAGTGTTTGCCTAAATGTTGCATCCTGACGACACTTCTGCGATTGTGGGTGTGTGTGTGTGTGTGTGTCTGAGTTTGTCTTTATTACATTCACTTGTGAACAAAAGATGTCCACATAATGCAGGTTGTGTTGACGTTATGTGGACTAAGCCGTGTCCACATAACGTTTTGCCCATTCTGGAAAACAGGTTTAGAGCCTAGAGGCATTTTGGGTTAGGTTTATCCTTAGCAGAATGAAGAGAAACACTATGGCCTATAGGGAATCATAGAAAAAAATTGGGTTGAGAGAGTTTTCACAGTTTAAGTAAAGTTATTTTTTGTACCGAGTTTTCTTAACTACACGAAAACAAAGGAATGTCCACACAGCGTATGTAAAACTAACATGGGTATAGTCGTGTTCCCTAACATGGCGCACTTCGAAGCTTACCCGACTTTCCTCGTGTACTGTTGCCAAACCTCTTTGTTGACAAACCTCAAATTCATGCAGTGAAATACTAGTACTTTTACCTAATTAATGCTTGCTATTTAACCTCTGTGAACAAATTCGGTTTTCATAAAATTTAATCCGAAATTCAAAAACGGTGGCATCCAGAAATTGGGCACAAATAGGCGGAGTGTTCCCTAACGTGGCGCACTTGAATAAATCTTGGCAAATTCCAAATTAACACTTAAGAATTTCTGTAAACTTGATAGGCCTAAATTCTGATAAATAATTGTTATCTCTACAAGTTTACATGTACATACCCAGCCAGATGTTTGTCAGAAAATTATTTTCTCATTTTTCAGGGCATTTTCAAAGGGTTCACTTTGCACTTGAAAATAAAATCGGAAAATTACGCCAAAATAATTTTTCCTTCTGACTTTGTTACAGGTAAATAAACTCGCGATTTATGATCAGGAGTGCTTAGAACTTGATGATATTTCACAGAAACAGTTAAAACTTTTGCTCTAGGTACATGTAGGCGCTACATGCGAAAAATCAAAGTGCACCACGTTAGGGTACATCAACAATATGTGTGTGTGTGTGTATAAAGTCTATGGACACGAATGAGAGTCAAGAAAAAAATGCTGAGTTACTTTCCTAACACAATTGGGAATGTTATTTCTCAGTGCATGCAGTCCCAGATTTAAGTACCGGTATCAGTATCATCATTTTGGCAATCGTGTATAGTGTAGGGCCCCTGTTTTGTTTTGATCAAATTCAAATCAAATATTTTTTAATATTTCTAAAAAATGATGTCAACCTAAAGCAGACTTCTCTCAATGTAATGACACCTTTTTGAATGTTGGTAATTTTCGAACACTAGTAATGCCTTTGTTGTGCCCATTCTTGAAAATCACGCATTCTTAAGAATGTGCATGCACATTCTTAAGAATGAGCGCCCATTCTTCAGAATGAGCGCCCATTCTTAAGAACGAGCACGCGTTCTTAAGAATGAGCGCTCATTCTTAAGATTGGGTGGGAATATCACGTGCACAATTTATGAATTTTGCCCAATCTTAACAAACATTGCACGACATAATTATGTTAAATGAAATGTATAGCGGTTAAAAGGGAAACAATTTATATAAAGAGGAAAGAAAATGTTCTATGCTTCTGTACTCATATAACTATGATAATTTGAATCAAATTAAACCTGTTATTATTGCTTTTTTTCTGCCCACTATGGGAAGTTTTGTAGTAACGGAGGACTGGGAACTAGTCTGGGAAGTGCTTTGTTTAGGCTAGACAAGTTACAAGTCCCTGTATAAGTATCATATGCATGCCACGAAAAAAAAACGATTTCCAGAAGCTGCCAAAATTGCTCTTTTGACTAGATAGAATCCAGCTCTGCGACGTAATGGTGGGGTGTGAACAATAAATTGGTGGCAATTTAAATGAGAAATAACATTAGCACTATGGGATGTCGCAGTATTCATTCTCATTCTTCACATTCTTACGTTCCCCCCCCCCCCCCCCCCCCCCCCCCCCCCCCCCCCCCCGCTTTTATTATCCCAAAAATCAGAATTCTTTCCACTAGTATTATCATGGAGTAGTCCTACCTCCATGGTATTATTATGTCTCTTATTTTTTCCCGGTCCCCCCCCCCCCCCATATCAATACGCCTATAGATACTTATCATATCCACTCTACTTTTCAGCGCCTTGCGTTGCAACAGTATAATTATTGAGAATCAGTGAACCAGGATGCAGCTAGACTTGCCAAGCGCAGCCGGTGCTCGGCATCGACAAGACCATTATCTTGTCGCGCATTCTTAAGAATGTGCGCTCAATCTGGAAGAGTTTTTTTTTGCGAAGATTGGGCAAGGATCCAGTTGCACATTCTTAAGAATGCGTGATTTTCAAGAATGGGCACAACACCTTCAAGAGAGAACTGTACAAAGACAGAAAATGTCTCATTTTCCTATGATTACTGTTATTTTTTGCTCAAACAGCTGATAAAAATCAACCAGTCTCTAGAAGTTAGTTCTCTCGGTTGGGGAGTTATTTGGGTGGTAACGAAGCAGTGGACCAGGCAATCAATCGAGCACACCATTGAGACATGGATCGACCTCCACTGATTGACGGAGCTGTGCTGACTTAGATTGACACCATTGATGATAAAGTAAGTAGCAAGTTTGAGTCCTGTAGGCTATGGGTTTGACCTTGGTTCGATTCCTCTTTTGTTCCAAGGTGTAGCCTTAGTTATCCTTGAATGAATTGAAACATTTTTGGTTCAGATCCTACTGCTTGTTTGGTTTGATTCCTTTTTATTTCAAGTTGTAATCTCAGTTATCCTAGTATGAATTGAGGAGTCCTTGGTTCATGCCTAGTCCGAAAATTGGGGACTCTACATGTATGGGGCATTCATCCAACGTGAGACAGAATTGCGCACAGGCCGTGAGGCCAAAAAAAAATAGTGGGTCTCTGGTCAGACCAAAGTTCTGGACTTGATGTAGTGATTTAAAAAAATATTCTTTGTCTGTACCATCCAAGCTTGGGAAAAAATAGCACAGTGGTACTGCTTTGTTTGTTTGAGTTTTCATATGGTGTTACATCATTTGACTTGGTGCCCTATCATTTGTCTTGGTGCCCTTGTGCTCCTTAGTGCTAAATATTTGAGGCGGTGCAGCACTAAAGGGCACTGTTGTAGACAGTTTTTAAAGAAAAAAAGAAGTTGACTCAACAGATCAAAATTGACGCACAACGATTTTTTATGGCTGAATGGACAATAATGCAAGTGGGGGATTTTTGTTTCTTTTTATTTTCAGATTTAGTGATATTAATAACCTTTGATACATGTAGTCACTACTTATGTTTTAAGGAAATTGTATAAAAAATATGGAGTACATGTAAGGTCTGGCACGTTTAAAGTAAAACCAATGGGCTTGTTTCATTGTTTTTTGCCATGTACCGTAATGCTGTGGCCGGGTGAGGTGGGGTAGAGGGCGCTATTCAGGACTTTCTTCTGTCACCTTGCAAGATGTAATGATGCCAAGTCACTATAAATTTATATTTCCCGGATTCGTTTGTATCAAAGATATATAACCAGGCATCCTATCCTATCTACAAGGATGGGACTAATAAGGGAGCAAAGACACTTCTTCTTCAGTGAAACAATAATTTATTCTTAAAAACTCCAAGAGTTCTCTGAACCAATTTGACATCTTTATTTATAGGACTCAGCTATCATTGCTTGTTCATCTCTCATCCGCTACGAATACCGCAAAATCTTTGGTTGTATACACGTTATCCGACGCAAACTGGTTAACCTATTTTTTTTTAACCTTGTTCCACTCGAGTTTGCAGGATAGCTAATAATGAATACAAGTAAATGTCTCAATCAGTATCAAACATTTTTTCTCAAATTGACAATATTCAATTTTCTTGACCAGGTGATGGCAGATCTACCAGCTCACTTCACATCAGAGAGCTCTCTTGAGAAGCACTATAGAAGCACTATAAGGCCCAGGAGAAGGACTGCTTCTCACGGCTAGAACAGACTCGGACCAGAGCTCTCTTGAGAAGCACTGTACGGCCCAGGAGAAGGACTGCATCAAGTACATCACCACCTTGCTGGTGCTTCACAGGGATGGTACAGACTCAGACCAGAGCTCCCTTGAGAAGCACTATACGGCCAGGAGAAGGACTGCATCAAGTACATCGATCACTACCTTGCTGGTGCTTCACAGGGATGGAACAGACTCGAAGTACTGCAAAGTAAGACTTTTTCATATTTGAAGAGAAAATGCTCTAACTGTACTTTAAAACGGTTGAGGGGGTAACAGCAAAAGATCTTTCTTGCCCGATTTTTATGCTCAACACAATAAAACTAAAACAGAAAAAAGTTGAAAATCTGTCAAAAGTAGGATTCATCACACTGAATGTTTTTGGGGACTTTTTGATCGGGTACGACCCAATCACCTTTTTGAAATGGTAATAATTATTCTTTGGGTTTTTTTTTCTGGACAATAATTCTTTACTGGTTTTCTCCTTAACCTACGTGAACTCGCTCGACCTTTATACATGTACTTCCGGGTCTACTGGAAGGTCAAAATTGGGTGAATTTAAATTACAGACAAAGGCCTCAAAATCAAAACGAACCACATCTTTTCCAAACAGTTCAAGTGATGACGATAAAACCTAGATGGAATTTGAACCCTGGTCCGAAGATGTAAAAGAAATTGTGATGTCATCATGACATCACCTGGTATCAAATTACTAGCGGTTAACATGAAAATTTGAGAGCTTACTTTTAATTAGGCTATAACTTTATAACGGAACAGAGTTGTATTCTCATTTTAGGTTGTTTCAGACATTGCTACTGGCAATATTTTGATCCAGCATGTCCAGGGCGCATACCATTTGACCTTTACTTCCAGTGTAACCGGAAGTGCAATGATAATAAATTGAACTTGAAGACGGAAGCATTTTGCTACAGTTATATAAATTATGCAAATATTTAGTGAGGAATGTCCAACACAAACATTGGCATGATGACATAATTACACAATTGGCGCGTACTAGTACATTCACGCAATGCGTCTCTCCAACTAGGGCTCTCAAAAGTTGTCAAAAAGGGACAATCTACTGTTTGTGCACGTAATCTTTATAATCAGCCTAGATATACATGCACCTAGGGCATGTAGGCCTGGTACTTTTCAATCATATTCTCAAAGGTGGCTTAAGTTCAAAATGTAAAATGCACTCAAATTTGATCAAATTGTCTACTCAGAATATTTATTTATTTATTTATTTCAACTGGATCCAACAGCAGCCAAATCGCCAATTACAGTAGCACCAAAAAAAATTGCAAACCAATAGTGTCACCAGAGTTACCCTTTACATCTTGCGCTTAACTTTCCAGGTTGTTAACTTGTTGAATGCCTTGTACACGCTGTTCAGTGCCATCATTTCCAACTATGATGTCTAAAAAGTAAATATTTCATATGACCCAGCAGATTGTTGTAACCAGTTCGAGCTGGACTATTTTGACATTGACCAGACCAAGACTGGTTTCAGGCTGTCATCTACGGGTAGCTTGCTGCAAGCAGGCCACTGACAGACATTTCGGGCCTCGCTTGTTGCGTGTTTATCCATCATCCATTCCGATTACCGCAAAACCTTGCGTGATACACATTGTCTGATGTGAACTGGTTAAGCAAAATCTGCCATATCACAGGAAGTTATTTGAAAGGGTACTTGCAATAGATTATACTTAATACACTTATCCAAGTTCATTTATTATGGTAAATATGCAAAAATGAAATGATCAACAATACATTGACAGAAAGCACTTCACCTGTTACCCCTTAACTTGATTCTACCATCTTAGATCTGTTTTACTATCAGAGTACTTTGCAAGCTATGCTTATAATTTGTAGTCTTGCATATTGACTGCTTCGAGTGGCATTATAAAACAGGTCTAGGAGGCTAGTTTGATTATGCCACTCAAAGTAGTCAGTATTAAAATGGAAGGTGCCATAGTCCTTTTAGCCATGTACATGTAGACGGAAATAGCAAATACTATGTGATGCACACTCTCGGCCACTGAAAAACACAGAATCTGTGGGTGCGGTGATATAATTACAAAAAGTCACTTGCATTATCATTGTCAACATTACTCGGCTGTTCGCAGGCGTAGTCATGACAATCACTCAGAGGTTAAGTCGATGCTACCATGATGCATGGTTACTAGTTCAGTGAAAAAGCATGCAAATATGTACGTTCTATTATAATATCTGAAAGCAAAATTAACCAGTGTTGAATAATAATATCTTGCCAAGGTTGAAACCATCAGCGAAGTCTACATGTTGGTCTCTGGCCTACCGATCCGTATTGGCAGCCGTCATGCTGGTATGGTCGCCTCTGCTGCATGACATCTCCTGGACGGCGTTGGAGTTTCATCATGCCACACAAACAAGATGAGAAACTCAAACTCCGAATCGCTATTCACTCGGGTTAGATCATTGTCTTTGCTTGTGGTCGAGATACTTAAGATAAATAGATCACAAATACATCAGAAGTCCAGTCACAAGTACCTCACAAGTCTAGTCACAACTAAATCACAAGTCCAGTCACAAGTACATCACAAGTCCAGTCACAAGTAAATCACAAGTCCAGTCACAAGTAAATCACAAGTCCAGTCACAAGTACATCACATGTCCAGTCACAAGTAAATCACAAGTCCAGTCACAAGTAAATCACAAGTCCAGTCACAAGTACATCACAAGTCCAGTCACACAAGTACATCACAAGTCCAGTCACAAGTACATCACATGTCCAGTCACAAGTACATCACAAGTCCAGTCACAAGTACATCACAAGTCCAGTCACAAGTACATCACAAGTCCAGTCACACAAATACATCACATGTCCAGTCACAAGTACATCACAAGTCCAGTCACAAGTACATCACAAGTAAAGTCAAGATTCTGGTACATAAGAAATAATGTCATTTTAAAAGACACCAGTGTCGCATTATAAATTAAGTATGCTTTCTTTTTTTCCACAGAGTTGTGTGAGTGCAATGCACAAACTCTTCACTGCTGAGGCAGACACTGACCGGAAAGTACAAATCGCTGATCAACTCGACAGATTACTAGCACTAACCACTCAGTGGATAGGACATCACAGCGGATATCTGATCAAACAACCAGACACATATGCAGAAGTAAGTTACCTCTGTTGCGCTGTTCACCAACTTCTTTTGTTATTGGCTGTGTTCGCTTGGGTCACTCTCTGGAGCATTGCATTTGTGATCTGCGGGTAATTCTACAGGTTGTGGATTCAAGTCCAGTCTGGGGTTACTGGCGTGTGCGCCCTTGGGCAAGACACTTTGTCACTCATTGGTTCTCCCCGCCCAGGAGTAAATGGGTACCTGTGAGGGCAGAGATGGTTGTTTTGATTGACTTTAGCTGCTTTGTGCTGAAATGGGAGCATCGAGCTGTATACTCCCTAGGGAGCTGAGATTGTCTTAGGAATGTTATTGGCCCAATGAGCAGGGTACTAATGATGTAGCGCCTTGAGCACCAATAATGGTAGTTACATGCGCTTTATAAGTACACATTTTTGATATTATTATTATTATTATTATAATCTCGAGAGTTTAATGTTATCATAAGCATGCACAGAATGGCTGCTGCAATAATAGAAGGTAATTCTTTATAAAGAACAAAGTTTTAGTGTGGAAATATGTGAATACAGTTCGCATTAAACAAACAAAATATGAAAATAGACTTTAAACTTTGAGTTTGGCAATGTTTACCCTATCATCTTTTGAAATCATGTGATTTAGCGGGGTGCAGAAGCATATTTCCCAATTGGCTTCTTCTAAACTTTTAGATTTATTTCTTATTTCCTCGCCGCCCAATTTCAGGTCCTTTTGACGTTGCTAGAGGGCAGCATACTACCCGGCCAGTGTGGTGACACTTTGTTAGATCTAACAGCAGCTCTACTCAATGCAAGCCAGTGTGACCTACGCAATGATGTCATTACCCATCTTGTCAGATCAGTGAGTATTAAATTGCTCCAATACTGCACTCACCTGTAGCCACAAATTAATGGCAAGGAATCAGAAAAAGGCAGTAAGTCCATGGATCAGGGCTAACATTATCTTAAGATTTGATTTCTCCTTTCAATTTTTGTCTTTGTAGGTGTTCAGCAGCCACTACTCACAGCTACAGGTTTTGGGATTCAGCCAGCAACTTTTCTCCATGCGCTCATTTGAAAAGGTTTGTATCAGTTTCTTTTTGTTTGTTCAGTTTGCCTGCATCATAGATTTGTCGCCATTTTGTGTCGGAAATCAGTAGGTTTTTCTCGAAATATGACCTTAGTTTCATCCAGTTTCATTTAAGCTTTTCCTCATCAACTTGACGATTTCAACTGATGATAATGCATGCTTACTGTTTCTTACTGTTTCTTACCATATTACTTAGGACACATTGCACCCTTTGCTGCATTTTTGCCATACTGGGATTGGCAGCAAGTCTACCTCATCAAACCATGACATCCTACTCACACTGTGTAGTCTGGTGCTCCATAAGCAGTCCTCAACAACAGATGGATCAGTTCTGGAGAGTCATGAACCATACCTCATGGACTTCAGTTTTGATGTTTATAACAGGTAAGAACTGAGTTGTTCAATGTTATACATTAGATTGAGTTGTTGTCAGACATGACAACTGTTGAAAGGATAGATTCTTGAAATTCAACAACAATTAAGAATATATATCTTGTTTCATTTGTAACTTTTTTGCTAAATAGCCAATCCAAGAGCAAGAAGAAACAAGAAACGAGCGGACAACTTCCCAGAATATCTCCTGTCCCTCCTTGAATTCAGTCCCGAGTTACTGAGACAAGACAACGTAGTATATCAGTGTTGTGGGCTGCCCTCGTGTGTTTTGCCTAGCACCAGGTAAGACAAGGTTTTATTCTG